ATGGCAACTACTATACCGCAGAAATAAATGGCAACCTACTGCGGGGAAAAAATCGGAAGATACATGATCACCTAAGCGTGTATCCTGCATGGCACATAACTGATATTTCTAAAATGAGGTATTGTAATTGTTTACACTATTTACATTGTTCGGAATGTTGTCCTCATCTTTGAAGCCATATTCACGACGTTTCGGCCGCTGTACACTCCGGCCTTCTTCAGGTGTTTGTAATGATCACTAATCGGTTTCTTTCTTAAAAGTCTTTTTTCCTAACCTGCCCGCTGGACCCGTCTTGATCCCAGCATTCCTTAGTGGGACCGGAAGTGCATACAATCAACATCATAACCATAATCAACATTACAGATGTTGTTATAATACTAATGTTACAGTTGCATTGAGTATATTTTCTGTATGAATAGTATGTGATTTTTTTCTATACAGACAATTAACTCTATTGTTGTGTGTAAGAAAGAATTCTGCTTCTTAAAAAATTAAAATTAAATATATATATATATATATATATTACATGAATCATTCATACAAAAAACAACTATAGAGGTTAATGATTTAAATGTTGAGAATAAATCTTCGCAAATAATTTTAATAAAGTACACTAACCCCGAACCTGTATATGATCCCTGTTTATAAATTCCAGTTTCATAAGTTCTTTTTTAGTTTTTACAAGTTTTCGTCTGTTCCTACAGACATCCTCAGGTATGGAAATAGATTTGTTCATGTTTTTTTACTTCGCGGTAATAAGAGGACAACGAAAATGTAGATGTAATCCGAAAAAATGCTATGAGAAATGTGTTATTGTTTTGGAACGTTGTCCTCTTATTACCGAGAAGTAAAAACAAGAACAAATCTGTTTCCATACTTGAGGATGTCTGTAGGAACAGACGAAAGCTTGTAAAAACTAAAAAGACCTTATGAAACTGGAATTTATAAACAGGGGATCATAGCATCTATATATATAGGTTCGGTGTTAGTGTACCTATTGAAATTGTTTGCGAAGATGTATTTTTCGCCATTTAAATCATTCACCTCTATATTTGTTTTTTGTATGAATGATATGTAATATAATTGAATGAATTGAATCGATATATATATATATATATATATATATATATATATATATATATATATATATATATATATATATATATATATATATATATATATATATATATATATATATATATAAATAAAGGTAAAAGAAAAGAAACAATAATAGAAAAAATTCTAATAAAAGCAACTGGTACTCATTATTCGAAAATAAGATATTCTATTTTTATGGCATGTTCGTTTGGTGCTAAGTAAGGGAGACATTTATACATATGTTATTATTTTATGTGCATATTAAAAAATTATACATATTGTTTTAATTGTATGCACATATTAAACATTTATACATATTCTATTATTTTATGTACATATTAAAAAAAATTATGCATACTTTTTACTTTTATGCACATATTAAACATTAATACATATTCTATTGTTTTATGTGGATATTAAAAAAATTATGCATTTTTTTTAATTGCATGCACATATTAAACATTTATACATATTCTATTATTTTATGTGCATATTAAAAAATTTAGCGCATATTTTTTACTTTTATGCACATATTAAACATTAATACATATTCCATTGTTTTATTTATACATATTTTATTATTTTATGCACATATTAAACATTTATACATATTCTATTATTTTACGTGCACATTAAAAAATTTATGCATATTTTTAACCGATAAATACATAGTTACGGTTTATTTTATATTATAGAATTGATATTGATATATAATTATTAGATTATGAGTATATTACATTTGGAATATTCAATAGAGCATTAAATGCAGATATACATACATATATATATATATATATATATATATATATATATATATTTAATATATATATATATATATATATGTGTGTATTTAATGTGTGTATATATATATATATATATATATATATGTGTTTAATATATAGGGTTACAAACTCATGTCTGTGTGTGTTTGTGTGTGTGTTTGTGTGTGTGTCTGTACGTGCGCTGGCTCGCTCGCTCACGCGCATGTCTCTGAGTGCATAAGAAAACCTGAAAAAACTAACAGTAAAATATCAGCGTTAATATAGCATCATATGACTAGCAACAGAATTATTTTATTATATGAATATTTATGTGACAGATATTCGAAAATAATGCCTCGTATTTAATATATATATATATATATATATATATATATATATATATGTGTGTGTGTGTGTGTGTGTGTGTGTGTGTGTGTGTGTGTCTGTGTGTGTGTGTCTGTGTCTGTGTGTGTGAGTGTGGCAAGAATTCATTGAAACATATTTTTACATTCCACCAGCAAGTTCTTCCGGCAGATATTTTTATTTCATGTTTTCTCAATTCCAAAGAAGTTGTTGCACATTATGTTAAAAAATGAGGATAAACTGTCCAAACTTCTTATTTTTGTTTTACTCTGCCATGTTTCAGTCATTATCAAAATTTTGTTCTGCCAGCATCGTAGACAATATAGTCTAGCATCTTTGGCATTTCAATAAAAAAATATATATATGCACATATTAAACATTTATACATATTCTATTATTTTATGTGCATATTAAAAAAAAATTATACATATTTTTGAATTTAATGCACATATTAAACATTTATACATATTTAATTATTTTATGTGCATATTAAAAAAATTATACATATTTTTTTAATTTAATGCGCATATTAAACATTTATACATATTTTATTATTTTATGTGCATATTAAAAAATTTTTATACATATTCTTTTTAATTTTATGATCTTCTTAAACATTTTATACAAGTTTTATTATTTTATGTTCATATCAATCATTTTATATATAATTTTTTTTTTGATTTTATGTACATATTAATCATTTATACATATTTTATTATTTTATGTGCATCTTTTTAGATAAATACGAAAGTCAGTGTGTCACGCTTTTTCAACTTTACTCCTAGAGGCCGTAGCCTAATATATGATACCATTTTGGAATCAGGCTGATTCTGCAAGCAAATTAAAAACATTCTGAGACGGATCCGGGCCCGCAATCCAGAAATTTGGGATTCCCAAGTTTTCATTATTGCAATTGTTTTCGGTGAATGTTTACGTGATTTTTTTGTGACGAATTTTTTTCTACAATAACAATTTTTATAACGTGGAAATAAATTTGGGAATAATTGAAATTAATTGTGAAATCCAACTAAAGTGACCCATGAAATAAAAATAATTATTTGTACGGAAAGTAAGGATCTACGTACATCAAATTGTCTATAAATTAAGTAGCAGCCGAAGAATTATCGTTGAACATTTAAAAGGTAAGCTTAAATATTAATGCAATAATTAAATGCAGCGATTAATTTTAAGTTTTGTAGTTTACTGTTGCCGAATGCACACGGTAGCAGTATGCCTCGCAAAAAGAAATCTCCCCCAACGGAGGACCAGATTACAATCAAAAGGGTAGTGAGGAAAAAAGTGTCGTACAAATGAAAACCCAGATCAAACGGCAGCCAGAAGAGCTTCAAATGCGGAGAATATGCAAAGAATTAGGGACTCTGAAAGTCCTGAACAAGCCGAAGAAGCAATCAAGGGCCCTTCGCAGGAGCTAACTTAATTGCCGACCGATATAGACATTTTAAAATATCGTCTCAGGCGGTGAAAAATATTTAATGCGTTTTGTGTCTTTTGCATAATAACATTTTCGTGTTTATGGAGTTTTTCTTGCAATGAGTAACGATAGTACTTTTAAAAAAAATTTATATTTAACTTATTCTAACAGTTTTATTCTAGTTGTTTGTGATTTGAGTTCTGATTAGTGAGAAGTTACCCTACGAGTGCGTGTAGACCTTTTGCGACCAACATATATATATATATATATATATATATATATATATATATATATATATATATATATATATATACATATATATATATATATATATATATATATATATATGTACGTAATGTAATATATGTATGTATTTAAATATATATATATATATATATATATATATATATATATATTTAAATATATATTTTGAACAATAAAATATTAAAAAAATTAAAATCTTCAGACACACTGGGTTGTATATTAATATTCCTTCGTTTTTATTATTATTTCATTTAGATTCCTCGACTAGTTTCGGCCAACATGGCCATCATCAGGAGAAAAATAATTTTCTGTTTGCTGATAGCAGTGAACTACAGAAATGAATGTCTTGATGGAGAAAATGAACTTTTGTCTGTAGTTTTCATTTGTTTTTTTTTTATTTTTTTAATTCGAATTTTGGTCAGTCTTTGTGTTGGTCAAACAGTCTCTTTTAAGTTGTTATTTAAGATAAGAGCTGGATTGATCCATGCTGCTCTGAATTCCCCTGGTCAGTTTGACAGTTTTATTGGTTCCTGGAAAGGGATGTGTCTCTGTTAAGTGTGTGTGTATTATTTAAATATATATATATATATATATATATATATATATATATATATATATATATATATATATATATATATTTAACATTATTATATGATCATGAGCCTCTCTAATGTTTATTTGCTTTAATTTCGGGTGAAAATAAAGACAAAAATTGTCCAACATTTGGATATTTTTTTATTAATTTGGTCTTAAGCTTTCGCCTATCATGAGCCATCCTCAGAATGGTTATACGGATATGAAACAAAGTAAGTGAAAGATGATATTTTGTTATTTTGAAATGGAAGATTGCTCTGCGAGGTTAACGGTTGCGGAATAGCAGACGCAGTTCGTAAGTTCAAGATGCGTTTCTATGACATCATACCACGCGATAGACCTAAGTATTACAACAGAACTAATGTCTAGATGCAATGTAATGTGTTGCGACTAATTTGAAATGTAATTTCGTTGAGTGTCGATTGCTTCGTTTTAATGTCTATGGCCTCCAATATCTGAAGGTTCTATTTACTGTGTGTATGTGTGAGTATAATTGTCTATCTATCTATCTATCTATCTATCTATCTATCTATCTATCTATCTATCTATCTGTTATGGGTTCTTACTCATAATAATAATAATGGACTATTTCATACTTAATAAATACTGCGCCTCGGGAGTAGGCAAGGAGTCAGTAGTTCAAGTCGAGTCAGGAGTCGAGTCAGATGCAGTCCGAAACAGAGTCGCGTTCAGACAATTACTGCAAAACATTGGAATAGTGATACTGGTCGAGACTACATTGTACTCTCTACTAAACCTGATTGTTCATATTAACACTTCTACTTCTCTGTATATATTCCTGTTTGTAATATATCTGTGTTATTCCATACCCGTGTTCGAGTTCTTCTTTATTGGTACTACCTTGGACTATCACCGTGGTACAAGGAACCGGACCATAACACTATCTATCTATCTATCTATCTATCTATCTATCTATCTATCTATCTATCTCTCTCTCTCTCTCTCTATATATATATATATATATATATATATATATATATATATATATATATATATTAAGTTGAACCCAATAGTTGAGTGGATGCTCTGTTTATTTATTAAACAGTATAATTATCTATTTTCGTCTGTCACCCTGAATATTAGAGAAATCTTATTAGAGAAATACATACTGATACTTCATAACAGTTCTGTACACTTTTCTCTCTTTCTAACGATTTTTTTCTGTTTCTTAACCCTAGAAAACTAACCATGGGTATATAGTACCCAGCACAAATTTTCCAATTTTTAAATACAATTTTCTGTACCTGAAAAGTACCTTATTTCTTACCTAAATAATACGTTTTTCAGTTCCTATTAATGTTAACTCAAAGTACAAAGTCTGAAGTGCCTGCATATAAAATATTTCAAATAAAGATTTATATTTAATATTTTTTTTGATATTTTTAAATTCGGGTATGATATACCCATGGTTAGTAGTGGTGTAACTTTAATTGAGGGTTAGTGTTCTAGGGTTAATATTTTGCTTAGATTTTGGAAGGCATCTTTCGTTATCACATAACGCCTTAGGATTTCAGTGTCGCACTTTCCGTCCACTGTTAAAACATTTCCCAGATCACAGAAAGTGCAACACTGAAATCCAAAGGTGCATTATTATAAACTTTACAATTAGTGAGTACACTTGTTTGGGTCGACATTCCTTTAATTCAAATTTTGTGGAAATAACGACGACGTTTTAGAGAAAATCGAAACAAAAAGGAAACTCATTCTTAACATTTGAAAATTTGACAATTAAAATTTCTTGAGCAGATAATGAGGAAGAAGGGCTTTGAAATCTGTTACTCACAGGACGGATTGAGAGCAAGTCGGACAGAGGAAAACAATGCATGACATAACCGACGTGCTTGAGAACAAAGATGGCGGCTAGGGTTTAGAAATAACGAAAAGAGAAAATTTATTTACTTCAATTTATTTAGTCCCTTGCAGCTATAAGTAAATATTGGAGAGCCATGATAGCCAACGGCCTGAAGGGAGACGGCATATAAAAGAGAAGAGAAATTAATGTCAACCGCCCAAGTGCTCAAAAAGTCTTTTTAAAGAAAAATACGTGGGGATCCAACCTATATTTATTTATTTTTTTCAAAATAAAACATCAAGGATGTCAACTGAAACAAGTTTACCCACTGAATATAAAGTATATATATATATATATGTGTGTGTGTGTAGCAGGATATTCGAGGTTATCCGTCTTTTAGGGCGGCTAGCCAATCCCTATTGCAGTCGCTTGCTCAGGCGCATTTGTGGTTATTCAACACCCACCTGTGGTTTATACTGCAACTATGCTGAGCAGACCTTAGAAAGAGCGTGTTATCTAGCGGGATCAACAATTTGCACAAGGCCAACGCGCTCAAGTCATCGGCCACGATGACTTGCGACTTCGTGCTATCGACGTCTACCCATTTTCACTCACAAGGCTTGGATCAACCTGTGGTAGGGTTTTCAAGCACTGTGATCGGCCCCTCTAGTTCGATAACATCAGGAAGATCTCCTTTCTGACAAGTTGACCATGGTGAGATTCGAATCCGGGTCTCATGGTTAGAATGCGAACATTCTAACCACTGAGCCAAATATAAAGTATATAGATGAGAGAGAATATATGTCAGGGTTATTACGGCCATTTTATCCCTCATTTTCTCATTAAAAATAACTTCTATTAGCATAAGAGATAATGTTGGATAACGAAAATCAATTAATAGCTTTTACAAGTAAGAAATAGAAAGAAAATGCTTGGGGAAAGAGAGAGTGTATGAATAAATGCTTTATATGTGAACTAGAGAATATTTTTAATGCACATTTATTTAGATAGAAGGGTGGCTTCGTATCATAACATAAAATGAATTTATTTACTCATGCTTTAATTTGTGGCAGAGGATATTACATTTATAGTATATTGATGATAGTATGAAAAATATTAATTAAATCACCAATCTCTTGTGTCTGTTAATCAAATATTTATTACCTACGAGTACATTTATTAAAATTGGCTGAAACCCCAGATTATCTATCTATCTATCTATCGATCTATCTATCTATCTATTTTTTTAATCATTTCACTTCAAGCAAGGCAATAAAGCCACTAAGACACAAGAGGTTACTGAGTGTTATAGAATATGATAAAACTACTATTAAGAAGAAGGGGACAATAAAAGAATAAGAATTAAGAAGACAGAAGATAACGATTGACGATTTACATTTTTTGAAGATCAAAGTTGACTGGGAAGCAAGAAGCCAGAAGAGAGTTTCACAAACGAGAAGTGCGAGAGAAGAAACTGTTAGTATAGAACCTCAAGCTATTTCAAATATAACATGATGAGACCTTTCCGCCAATCTAGTACTGCGCTTAAATTCATAAAGTCTAGATACCATAGAAGAAAGTTCATCAGAACAATTGCCATGAAAGTATTTATAAAAAAAATATACAGGAACATTACGGCGGTGGTGATGTGACTGAAGGTGAAATACCAGGTCAGGACCTATAAGATTGCAGATTCTTTGGATTTTATCAAGAATCTCTAAATATAGTGATTTTCCAAGCGTAGTTTAGTTGTGGCACAAGGCCGAAAGTATGGGGCACCCAGTGAGGATTGAATAAGATTTTCTAAGTGCAGCTTAGATGTGGCACATAGTCGAAGGATTGAACTCACTACTCAGCTTTAATGGTTCTAGCTTGCTAGCCATTACACAACGTCGAGGTGCCCAGGAATCTCTAAATATATAACAGAAGCACCAGACCAGAACATGACTGACAAGGCATTTCAATTAAACTTTTTATTATATATTTCTATACACGAGATTTCTTTTTGGGGCATAGTGTATATGGACTGTCCAAATGATCCAAGCTTACAGCACCTGATATTTCCTATTACTCACCCATCTAGTTACTGACCAGGCTCGACATTGCTTAACTTCGACGATCTTACGAGAACTAGTGTTTCAACGTGATATGGTCGTAATACTGTATTGCTAAACATATTTATTAATTTTGGTGATGTCCTGTATTTTGGTGATGTCATGTATACAAATTTAACTGTCATACAGGTTTTATAACGAATGGCGTGATACCAAAATCTACAGGTGTATTGAACATTATTTACATTATTCGGACTATTGTCCTCATCTTTGTCGCCATATTTATCACATAAAAATATAAATATGGCGACAAAGATGAGGACAACAGTCCGAATAATGTAAATAATGTACATAATACCTCATCTCAGAAATATAGACAGACTCAGGTGCCTTGAAATAGCAAAAATGCCTTCCAAAAATGGAAATTATGTTTTTTTTTCTTTGGCTGAATATGTAATTTTTTTTTTATTGCAATAGAAATGTTTTAATTCCCGAACACTGTCAGCACAATGTGGCCGTGATCATAGTTGAGAGTTGATTTGTTCTTGTGCAGTTAGATGAGTGCATTATGTTCGTGATTTATACGAGTATGTTCCGGATAGAGGCTGGTAGGTCCCCGTATGTATTTAAATGAGCCCTAATGGGGACTGCTGAATTTATCAACTTTCCTCTATAGAAAATAATACGAGTAGACAGGTTCACTTATCGCTTGGTTCACACTCCTCCCTGTTTTTTTGTTTTTGTTTTTTTTTAGCAGATGTAGAGGTTTACTGTTTAGGATTGGGCTTCCAGTTCCTTCTAAAATATATTTCAATTCTATACTTTTAACATCCCCCTAAACTCCGAAATTTTATTTACTATTTATTTATTTTTCCTCAATAGGGGTAGATAGGTTCACCTATCGTCCGGTTCACGCTCCTCTCTTGTTTTTTGAACAGGTGTAAAGATTTATCCCTTTTTCCCTGTTTGCGATTGGGTTTCCGGTCCCTTCTGAATTATCTTCATTCTCTTTTACACCAAGTAACCTTTTGCTTCTTAGTGGCAGTATCGCCATGCCTGGGGTGAAGTGAGTAAAAAAAAACCTTTGGATCGAGCTCGTTTGGCTAATTTATTGGCCATTATTAATTATGTTTTTTTTTCTTTGGCTGAATATGTAATTTTTTTTTTATTGCAATAGAAATGTTTTAATTCCCGAACACTGTCAGCACAATGTGTCCGTGATCATAGTTGAGAGTTGATTTGTTCTTGTGCAGTTAGATGAGTGCATTATGTTCGTGATTTATACGAGTATGTTCCGGATAGAAGCTGGTAGGTCCCCGTATGTATTTAAATGAGCCCTAATGGGGATATGATTCGAAAGGTGCAAAGTAAGCCTTCTTGATAGGTATGTTGTTGTATGACCAATGTAATTATTATTCGTGAATTTGTTTTCATCAGGAACGGACTTTCATAAGGGTCATGTAAATTGATAAATAATATTCGTCCTTTATATTTCGGAGCTTACTGATGAGTTGTTATTGTTGACGATAAGACTGGACGCTGTACATTAAAACAATTTAAACGGCCAAACTCATATATATATATATATATATATATATATATATATATATATATATATATATATATATCCGTTCCTTTCATTGGTCACCAACAATACATTACATAACAATTCCTGCTAATGTACATAGAAATATAAAAAAAATAATACTTGTGCAACTGCGAGCGATCCATCGTTTAAAAATATATTTTACTTAACAGAACAAACAAGGACATCACACATCAAAGGATTTGCTTTTCAACGCCAATAGAAACTCAATAAAAGGCTTCCTTGTCCGTTTTGGAATAATAATAATAATAATATATCATGTTAACAACGATAAAAATATGATTGAAAAATCTGACAGTTGTGAAACAAATTGTAAATATTAAAAATTAAAAAAGCGTAAGTATTGTGAAAAAACTACGATTGATTATCTATCTATCTATCTATCTATCTATCTATCTATCTATCAGTCTGTGTGTGTGTGTGTGTGCGTGTGTATGTATGTATGTATATAGCTGATGTTAATAAAACAATGCTCGATGTAATACAACAAAGCTATTAAGTATATATTCATAAATATACATAGTGTCCCTTACCGATAACACGACTCTGAGTTTAATGCGCAATGCAATCATCAGGTGCTGAGTATATACTGACCGTTATATAATTTAAATTTTTTAAATATCTGGTTATCGCAATGTTGCCGCAGTTAATACTGGATCACAGTTTTTTAATTTAAAAATAAATATTTTGATTTTAAAATAAACGAGATTTGTATATATATATATATATATATATATATATATATATATATATAAATTTTTAGGGTTTTGAATATTAATTTTGTATTTTTATATTAAGCATAAAGGAGATTATTTGTTCTTTTAATATTCTTGTTCTTTATATATATATATATATATATATATATATATATATATATATATATATATATATATATATATATATATACGAATACAAGGTTGTTATAGGTGGAACAAACTTCCAGTAACGAAAAACACTATTTTAAAAAGTGCTCAATACAGAGTTTAGCGAATAATATTTATTTAAAAATTATAGCATATGTATGTTATAACGTCACTACAAAAATAGTCATTTTTTTTTGTTTCAATACTTCAGGTGTCTTGTCAAGTGATGGTGTTGCAAGTAAAAAATAAATAAATAAAAATAATAATTTTCTTTTTTTACTTGCAGCAGTATCACTTGACAAGACACCCGAAGTGTTGAAACAAAATAGCTATTTTTGTAGTGATGTTATAACATACATAAGTTATAATTTTTACATAAATACATATACATATATATGTGTATGTGTGTGTGTGTAAAAAAAAACTATTATGTGTATATATATATATATATAAAATCGACGAGATTGGTTTATTTGTTTATTTATTGTATTTTTCGATTTTTTTAATAAAGTGTTTTGTACTGGGGTCAAAATTATGTATATACTGTTCATATTTGAGTTGTTGCTTGTTCAAGTACATTCGACTGTCTCAGTCATTTTCAAGAAAAGAATTTAGTAGGAATTCCTTCTTCTGCATAGGAAAGTAGAAAGTTTCAAATACTCTACAGTGACGCCATATGTAACGGTTATTGGAAGCGAAGCCGCACTAAAAAGTTTACTTTGAAATACATATATGCGCATATTAAATATATCGTATGAATTATTTCAAATTTTCCAAATAATATGGCTAGATATCTAGCTATTTCAACCGTAAAATGATGAGACTTTGTCACCAATCTAGCACTGCGCTTAAATTCATAAAATCTACGTACCATAGCGAAAGTAATATTTATTTGAAAATACGAAAATATGGCACAAGGCCAAAAGAGGTATAGGGAAAGGATGGTCTTCAATCTGTCTTATCTTAAACTTAGCTAGCCACGATTACTGACCTAGACATGCCAAAACAACACATTCTTACCATTCTTACTACAGTCACCATAATACCTCATGTCTCTATGAAGTCTTAACTAGTTTCCATATGTACAATTTATCTGGGGAAGGGGATTTAAAAAAGAGAAAGTTCACAAAAACAATTGTCATGAGATTATTTATAGAAAAGGCAAAACGAAGCTATGATACGGCGATGGGAAAGTGGCAAGCCGATATATCAGGTCAGGGCCGATAACATTGCAGATTCTTCAGATCAAATGTGGCAGCTATATTCAATGCAAGGACGAATGGTAAACGTATAAATACGTAAGATTATGGCGAGAAAAATTGTCTCACACGACACAGTGAACCAAATTTTCTAGTTAATGTTTATTACGTTACACACACTGGCTTACAGATTATATGTTTATATTAAAGAGTGAGATAAAGAACGCCTGAATATCTTTGTGTGTGTGTGTGTGTGTGTGTGTGTGTGTAAGAGAGAGAGAGAGAGAAAGAGAGAGAGAGTGAGAGAGGGATAGTTTGCAGAGATGTTTAATATAATTGGTCTGTCTTTATACCTTCGCCCTCGGCGATATATTTTCAACATGAAGAAGCGTTTGCCGCTAATCTTTAGCTCAAATTCCTTCACAAACTCAGATAAAACACTTCTTCAACTGCCTTTGCATGCAATATTTATGCATTGTACTGAAAATAATAGGTTTGTACTTGCGTAAAGCAAGTTTATCAATTTACGAATTTACATATTCCTCAGGAAACTTTCTTCCCCGCCAAAAAAACAAAACCAAAAAACGCACGCACATTAATTTCCAAGACATCACCACAAAAGAAAGATAGTTGTGAAATGATATTCTCCTTTCTACCTGTTGTTTTTTTTTTTTTTGTTTATTTCTTACCTTAAAATTTCCAGCCATCCACCGGAAGAAAAAAAAATTGTGCGTAGCTAAATTCTTTTATATGACGCGATTTGAGGCAGTTTTTAACATCAACTTTGAAATTTTTCTTGCTGAATAATTTTAATACATTTAACATTATATGGATAAAATAGTGAAAATTTTATATAGTGCTTTCTCGAGACTTAACATGAGCAAAACAATTTTACGGATTTGGACACGGAAAAGAAAACCACGAATCACGCCAAAACCGCGAAATTTTTCCATCCTTTAATAGTCAGTTGCGATTAGTTTAATTTGTAACGTATATAGGTAGAAAAAAAGAAACTATCGATAAGATAGTGAAGGTCACTAAACACTGCCCTGAGTCCCCAATCAGGCTTGCCTTCCCTGTGGGGGTTCGAGAGTAGTACGCACCGGCCCAACATTACAGCATTAGGAAACCATACGTTCATTATTTTTTGTCTTAAAATAGTAGAGAAAATACGCGATTGAAAATGATGAAATATATACATATTTATTTAAAGACATTTTTATGTTTAACATTCTTTTTATAGATACAAATATTTAAGTAAAGGCTCTGTTTATAATAAACAGTGTTAAATAACATTTAATACTGTTTATTATAAAGAGAGCATTTACTTAAATATTTGTATCTATAAAAACAATGTTAAACATAAAAATGTCTTAAAATAATTGTCGGACTTTGTCCATTTCATAATGTGTGATACATATTTATATATAGATAT